GGTTCGCAACTGGGCAAGGGTTTCGGGATGCAGACCTTGGTGCACTTGGAGATCTCCTTGAGCATGTCTTGTCGGCCGCGTTCGTAGTCGTTCATTTGAGCTGCGCATGCCTCTGCGCATTCCTATCGTGTGTGTGATGAGCATGCAGAAAGTAAATGCAAAATCATGTACTGTATTAAAAACACCAATACGACGAGTTTTCTTTTACAACGAAAGACCCGACGCAGGAATGCAACACTGCTATGACAATTCGTATAACAAGAATATTTTTTTGAAATTTTCAACTTTTTCCTACGCGGTACTGTATTTAAATTTTCTTAATTTCTCCCTTTTATCAAAATATGGGACGAACGCACAAGAATTAACAGGAAAAAAAAATTCAAGCAACATAAATGAAAGGTTAAACAAATAAATTCATCATTAAGTGCTTCTGGGAGAAAATGTAAATTTTACTCGAGAAAGTTTTGTTTCTGCTGGAAGACTTAATTTTGCTCGAACTGCTGTTTGAGTTTTGGCCAAAAAAAAAAAAAAAAAGGGATAAAAAATTCAGTATATTTTCAGATTTCTTGACATTAGTTCCTCCAAGAAATCCAAAATAACGCATTTTTAAAATGGAATTTTTCTTGATCCCTACAGAAGTTTTCTGTGACAAGATGTCAAATGTTTAACAATCGTGTTGCTAACAAGCACCATAGTCATGCAAAATTCTACAAAAATGTTCAAATTATCGGAATTCCAAAATTTTGCACAAATTTTTGCAGCAGGAACTTAAAAAGGTTCGAAAAAAATGTCAGAAGAAAAGGGCATCAAATGGAATCCACGCCAGGATAAACACTGAAGAATTGCATTCAATTTAAAAAATTAAATCAAGCGACTCTCAATTTCAATAGCAATTTCTTGTGAAGAAGTTTCACCTACAAGTATTTTAAAACGAAGATATGAATAATTATGATTACATTCTGCAGCACGAGTACTGAAATACCTCAATTAATTGATTTATTTCTCGCTTTTACATTAGCAATGGTGAGCTGTCATTGTAATTAAAAACATAAGAATACATTGATGAACTATTTTTGAGAAAGTGACTGCAAGAACAATTTTTAGGATACTAAAGACAAAACGCGTCATCAGATGTTAGGTATATAGACGTCGTACTTCTTTTTCCATTTGACTTGAGTAATAAAATCAACACAAGTACATTAATCACCTCAAAACATTTGAATATCTTCTCAGGTTTGTCGTCACAAATGAGATCCTTCACTTTATCTTTGCACACGTACTGCACACACTTGCTTGACCCGTCTTCCATTTTGCACTCCAGAGTGATTTCGTCTGGACAATTAGGATCCGCTGCACAAGGCTTAGAAGCAGTTTTGTCCTTGATGCATTGAAAAGTGTAACAAGGTCGCTTCCCACTCTCATCACAGAGCTCAATAGTGCATTTTTCTTTCTTATCCTTGCACTTGAGTGGGCACACAAATGGTGGGCACGGATCCTTCTTTGGAGGAGGTGGTGGAGGTGGGCACATGGGATAACATGGTGGTTCAGGAATGCAAGGCGGTTCTTTAGGCGGAGGCTTTGTGCAGCATGGCAATTTGG